ATATATATATCCTATGGGGCAGTTCTTCTCTGTCCTACAGGGTTGTTATGAGTTGGAATCGACTTGACAGTAGTGGGTTTTAGGTTCATGTCATATGATTTCCAGAGAGTTAAAGCAGTTGTCTCAGCACACAAGGCAACAAAACTATGACAGCAATGGACCCTTTGGCATTTCATTTTCTGCTTCTCAATTCAAACACATGGAACAATACCTAATTTCAGTTCAAAGTCATTTCCCTTTTATTAAGATCCAGTTACCATTACATGGTTTGGTACTCAATAAAGGAAAACTTATTCAAATAAGGTAATATGTTATCATCAGTATTTCCAGGTGACTGTTTATAATCAAGTAGCAATACCAATAAATTCTTGGGAAGCCCATCTGTAAGAGAAAATAAAGAATTAATCAGGAAAGAATAACAAAAAGGTAGAAATGTTACTAACAGTAACTTTCTTCAGAGCTTACAGCCTGGGGAATTGGGGAATATCACTGCCTCTCTGCAGCCTTTTTTTCTCATACTCAGTCTTGCCTAAGGTCAACTCACAGGGGACTGGCTTTGTAACCTTTTCATTTACATCACTGGTACTTACTGGGGTAGTCTTTACCAATTTGAAAAATATTGGGCAACTGCCTTTTTGTTGTTTTAAAGAAAAAATTTCCACTGTAGGTATAATTAAGTCCAAGAGCTTAGATAACCTCTCAAGAGTCCATAACAGAATATGAACCACAGACATAAGCTAAGTAATATAAATAGGAAATCCTGCTTTTTGAACACCTAGTTTCCCTCCATTGTTCAGAAATCATTAACAATACACACACATAAAAACACCTTTCCATTTATTACAAAGATGAGCTGACTGCAAGGAGATGGTAGTGGTGTGGGGGTGTATAAAGATAGAAACAAAGACTCTTACTCCAAAGTAAACTTTAAAAAATGGAGTTCAAAAAGAGATGATAAAATCTTAGGTAGTTTCTGTAGTTTCTCTAACATAAGTAGGAAGACTGAGCATATGATTCTCTGAATTCTGTTGGTAGGTGCTGTTGAGTTGGCTCTGATTTATAGTAACCCTATGCACAACAGAATGAATAATTGCCCAGTTGTGCACCATCCTCACAATCCTTGCTACGCCTGAGCTCATCATTGCAGTCACTGTGTCAATCCATCTCCTTGAGGGTCTTCCTCTTTTTCCCCAACCCTCCACTTTACCAAGCATGATATCCACTCTAGGGAATGGTTCCTTCTGACAACATGACCAAAGTAGGTGAGATGAAATCTGGTCATTCTCTCTTCCAAGGAGCATTCTGGCTATACTTCCTCCAGGGCAGATTTCTTCATTCTGGTAGTCCACAGTACTTTCAGTATTCCTCACCAACACCACAACTCAAAAGCATCAACTCTTCTTTGGTCTTCTTTATTCATTGTCCAGCTTTCATGTGCATACGAGGCAACTGAAAATACCATGGCTTAGGTTAGACACAGCTTAGTCTTCAAAGAGACATCTTTGCTCTTCAGCATTTTTTTAAAGAGGTCTTTTGCAGCAAATTTGCCCAGTGCAATATGACGTCTGATTTCTTGACTGCTATTTCCACGGGCATTGACTGGTGGATCCAAGTAAAATGAAGTCTTTGACAACTTCAATCTTTTCTCCATTTATCATGATGTTGCTTATTGGTCCAGGTGTGAGGATTTTCGTTTTATGTTGAGGTATAATCCATATTCTAGTCTTTCATCTTCATCACTAAGTGCTTCAACTCATCTTCACTTTCAGCAAGCAAGGCTGTGTCATCTGCATATTACAGATTGTTAATGAGTCTTCCTCCAATCCTGATGCTGCATTCTTCTTCATATAGTTCAGCTTCTTGGATTATTTGCTCAGCATACAGACTGAACAAGTATGGTGAAAGGATACAACCCTGATGCACACCCTTCCTGATTTTAAACCATGCAGTATTCCCTTGTTTTGTTCAAACGACAGCCTCCTGTTCAATGTACTGGTTCCTCATGAGCACAATTATGTATTGTGGAATTACCATTCTCCTCAGTGTTAACCATACTTTGTTACGACCCACAGAGTCTACTGTTTTTGCATAGTCAATAATATACAAGTAAACATCCTTCTGGTATTCTTTGCCTTCAGCCAAGATCCATATGACATCAGCAATGATATACCTCATTCCACATCCTCTTCTGAATTCAGCTTACATTTCTGGAAGTTCCTAGTCAATATATACTACTGCAAGTGTTTGAATTATCGTCAGCAAAATTTTACCTGCATGTGCTATTACCGATATTATTTTATAATCTCCACATTGAGTTGGATCACCTTTCTTTGGAATGGGTACAGATATAGCTCTCTTTCAGTCAGTTAGCCAAGCAGTTGTCTTCCACATTTCTTGGCAGACTAGTAAGTGCCTCCAGTGCAGCATCTGTTTGTTGAAACATCTCAATGGGTATTCCCATCAAGTCCTTCAGCCTTGTTTTTTGCCAATTCCTTCGTGCAGCTTTGATTTCTTCCTTCAGTCCCATCAGTTCTTGATCATATGCCACATGCCATCTTTCAATATTACAACTCTAAGCTTGAATTTTTTCTTCAGTTCTTTCAGCTTGAGAAATGGTGAGTGTGTTTTTCGATTTTGGTTTTCTAACTCTAGGTCTTTGCACATTTCATTATAACTGTCTTCTTAAGCTGCCCTTTGAAATGTTCCACCCAGTTCACTTATCATTTCTTCCATTTGCTTTAGCTACTCTACATTCAAGAGCAAGTTTCAGTCTCTTCTGACATTCATTTTGGTCTTCTTTTCCTGTCTTTATAATGACCATTTTTTTCTTCATGTATGATGTTCTTGATGTCACCCCACAATTCGCCTGTTTTAGTCACTGGTGTTCAATGTGTCAAATCTTCAGATGGTCTTAAATTCAGGTGGGATGTAATCAAGGTCATATTTTGGCTCTTTGACTTGTTTTAATTGGCTTCAGCTTCAACTTGAACTTGCAAATGAGCAGTTGATGGTCTATTCCATAGTCACCTCCTGGCTTTGTTTTGGCTAAGATATTGAGCTTTTCCATCACCTCTTTCTACAGATATAGTCAATCCAATTCCTATGTATTCCATTTGGCAAGGTCCATGTGTACAGCTACCATTTATGTTGTTGAAAAAAGGTATTTCCAATGAATTAAGTTGGTCTTGCAAAATTTGATCACACGCTCTCCAGCATAATTTCTATCACCAAACCCATTATTTTCCAACTACTGGTGATTCTTCTTTGTTTCCAACTTTTGCATTCCAATCACCAGTAATAATGCATCTTGATTGCATGTTTGGTCAATTTCAGACTACAGAAATAAATCTGAATTCTAAGTTTTTACATAAGTGTTTTAATAGGTGTTCAGTAACAGTATCCTAACAAGGCTTATTACTTCATCTCGTGAGAGATCTAATAACAACTTAAATAATTTTGGACTCACTTTTATTGAAACCTTTAAAAGTTAGTTTAAAAATAAACTTTCCCTTATGCATAAGGAAACAGCTCAGGAGGCAGGAGTG